CATGCAGAAAGTGGACTTCCAAGCCTAGAGCAGAAAGTGAAGAAAGAGTCAAATTAGCAAATTGGGCCAGATTTTGCAAGTCTCTAAAACGGAAACAGCAACGAGAAAAAGGCCAAATCTAAGTTCAAATACGATTTAAATTAGATAATAAAAAGGATTTCTATCTCAAACTACAATATAAAAAGTACAATCCCTTCGTAATATTTGTCCAATTGTAATGTTTAAGTGTGCCTAAGTGTGGTGCCCTAAGTAATTCTCATCTGTAACATAAGTTGACATTTTTCCACACTTCCAAGATTTCAGATTGTATGTATTAAGGTCATTGTTTCAAACCAACTGAGCAAAAATAACATTTAAACCTGACAACATAGTGGAAACATAAAAGATTATTTTTTTCTTTTGGTAAATGATCTAACAACCTGAGCTGACTCTGCCTACGTGAAGAACAATAAGGAGACTTACTGCAGGCATCTAACCAAGTAGCTGACAGCCACCTGGTATTCAAAGTGTCCATCTGGCCAGTAGAGGTAGTCAGCTGATTAGCACATGGCTGGCTGAATATGTACAAAATAAATAAAAAATATGCAAAATATGTACATACTTTAAATGGTTAAATTATTTCTACAGTAAAACAAAGCTAATCACTTCTCAAAGGACAAATAACCATTACTGTGCATGGTTTATCCAGCAGTCACCATAATCACTGTCAGCTAGATTAAAATTGATTTGCTGGCCTCGTGTTTGACTTGCAAATCTCTCTCTTAATCATGGCATTTTGTTCAGATAAACAGGGATTAGTTTGATTAACAGCATATCATTATCTCCAAACATTTAAACACTGTATAGGCTTTAATTAACAGAATGTGACAGTTTAAATTGTTGATATATTTCGTATTTATATAAAACATTTGATTTTAAATTTTAAGCAAATTTAAGATTTAAGCAAATAGTATAGCTATATTTGTTTATCTTTGGCATCCATCAACATTAGTGAAATGTTATATTTATTTATATGTATTATTCCATGGAAATCACCATTCTCAGACTACTATGACTGCTACCACATGTGATGCCGTTTTCTCTTTTCCATGCACCTTTGTTTTTTTAACTTAAATACTTGGTAGTAAGTGGCAACTAAGAATTTTCATTTGTGAAAAATAAATCCACACTGACCAACAGCAGGTAACAGAAAAAGCTAAAATGAAAGGCATTTTATCCAATTGCAACAAAAATGATCTGGAATCAAAACATATTTGACATTGCCTCCAAATGCTGGTTTTGTTCTGGGCTGGTTGATTTAACTTTTTTAATGTATGTCATGATTAAGTAGTAAGGTTGCTCTAGGATTTTATCAAGCTAGTGTAGCTGTTTACAGGAAGTTGAGCTTGACCACTAAAGCCAAAAAGCAAGCAGGAGTCAAATTTCTTGTGTGAGCACACGTACTTGGGCAATAAAGCTGATTCTGATATTGATGTGATTGTGATTTTCAACTCAAAATGCTAAAAAGACCATGTCATTTCAAGGTAAACAATTTACTGGACGGCCTTATAGCGCTCTTGGAATGACTCCAAAACATAATTCCACCCTCTGTGATAACTGGAGGTCGCTGCCAAACAACTATACAACAAGTGAAACTGAATGAAAGTCACTCTCCAGTTTCACTTTGTCACTTTTATCTGAGCTGTATCTTTAGGAGTAAACAGTTAAATTCCACTGATTTCCACAGTTACTGTAGGATTAGCATCAAAATCAACAATAACTTGTTTTGCAGTCAAACTTTGGTCTTTTCATGGGATTTGTTGACATTGACAAAAATACATCCTTTAATTTGACCTCTTATGGGTGACTGGTGTTCATTAAGTGCCTGTTAAGACTTATACAGAAGTGTGCTTTGGGGTATGTTGGCTTCACTGATAAGTATCGCATTTGTCCATCAGCACCACTCACACATGCCCTCCTTTGATCAAGTTTTGATTTTGTGAGACGTCAAACCCAAACTGAATCATAAATATCACTGTTAAGATCGCCACTAGAGCTCACGTCCATCTACAAAGGCTGAGTCTGACCAGCGGCCCTTTGCTGCATGTCATTCCCTCTCTCTTTTTCCCCGCTTTTCCTGTCTCTCAACTGTCCTATTTTAAATAAAAGCACAAAAAGCCCCCAAAATAATATCCTTTTAAAAAACCTAAAGAAAGCCATGGGAGGAATTACAAACCCACATCCATGTTTTCCTCCAGTTAATTGTTTGCGACCCTCCTTGTCTCTCCGGCCCCTCCCCCAAACAGCTCCACTGTTTCTTCAGCCTCCTGCTTCACTGCTCAGCGGTTCGATATACAGCGTTTGTCCTGCCATCCTTTGTGCTGCTCTGCCCTTTCCCGGATTCTAAAATATTCACTCAGTCATCAGCCTCTTCTTCACTACTAACACATATGCCTCAAAATATGACTTAACATTTCAGACATTATTTGCACAAATCCGAATGTGCCCCTGCAGCGGTGCTTCCTAATTATTCAGAAAATGCCCAGCAAATGGACAATTCCCAAACAGATTAAGCCCATTTGCAGGCACACATCCATATACTATATTATATGCATTGATAACTTTCCAATTAAGCAGTTCGTCTCTGCAATGCCTCTTGTGCTAATAGAATTTGTTTGTTATTGTTTGCTCTTAGTGTTTGAAGAACATTACCATGAGCTCATTTGGATAAGTCAAGAGGAAAACAAGTGAATATATTCTAAGCCGTGACTGCAAGGTACAAATAGCAATTGTGTCTAAACTTCTGTGGCGTTGTGTGGTTTCTTCCCTCACAGTAAGTACTGAGTGAGCAGACATCAGTCACTTTATTAACAGCTCAACAACATTTGCAACGTGATTGGAAAATTATGCTGACCAATTGCTCCCTGGATTTGAGAGTTTATTGATTGCTGGTTAGATGTTTTGTCCGGATTAGCCAACGCTGTCAGTATCACCACAATGAGCAGCTCTGGTTTTGTTAACTGCGCTGCAGCGGATGGATGGATCGCTCTTTTTAAATGGAACCTGCAAATCTCTCCATTAAATGTCATTTAAAACTCCTACAACTCCTTGTCAAAAGTTCTGAATAAAAGGTTATCATTTTGCAAGACTGCAACAATAGAAAATTCTCGATGTTTCCACAGTTGAGCTGTAAAAAGTTGGTATTGTGTATGTCAGCTGTGTTTAGCAGCTCATGAGATTCTGAGGTATGACATTCTGTCTCTTCTATGAGACAACCAATTACAGTCAACTGAATTCAACTATATCAACTTGTCATTATAATGATAGTCAAAACTGAGTGTGTCAGAGCCTTCCCTAATCAAATTGCCCTGCACACACAAAATAAAGAGCATGTTGTCAAAACTTTAAACTTCTCTGACACTCAATACAGTTTCTTATAGATAGTTAATTGTAAGTATACGTATAGATACATATTTATATAGATAACTAATTCAACCCATTTGATGATAGTGCCACTGGTTAATCAGATTCGAGAGGATGGTGACATGCTGTATGAGGGTGTCTATCAAAGTTACAGCACTGTACTCGTCTGGACATACGTATTTGTTTCCCCTTATTTGTCTGTTTAAAAAATATTGTCAGAAGATTAAGTGTGCCTCAACAAATCCCCGTTCATTATACTTTTACAACTTGGAAGAACAGGTGCTGTATTTTTCCCCAAAGTGATTAACAAATTACAATGATCAGCATGTGTTTTATTATACAGTGAGTGGTCGTAAACATCGGTCTAATTAACTGAATTGGAACAATCAAGTACATCTCACGAGAAACAAACATTCTCTGTGGACCCCTCCCCGCATTCCAAGGCTATTCATTCTAGCATATTTGTGGGCCTCACATGGGGGCCCTCCATACTGAGTTCCTGTTGTCCCCCCAGTTATAAGGCCCTGCTGCTGCTGCGGCTACTGGCAGTGAGATCATCAGTGTAAATCATTTTTGACATTTTGATCCATAAAGGCAAAACCAGTTTGTGTCTTAGGGGTTCAGGTAAACTAAGCTGCAAAATATTGTTTTTACTACAATCCTAATTAGAAGAGGAAGTGAAACACTTAAAAAATGCTGCATCTCTCAACTGAAGGTGCAGGATTTTGCAATGCATAAATTTGGCAACAGTTTATTAGTATTTTCTCTTTTTTTTTTTAATGAGGACATAATACAGACTAGCACAAAGAGTGACCACATGAATAGAACAGCTACAAAAGTTTGGTTTGTTTGCATTAAATTGTCTGTCCATTTGAATCAAGAGGTTTTTATGCAATGCTAATATTCAAACCCCTAAATGATGGAGCCTTAAGTAAACAGTTGACTGTTCTGTACAGTTGTTCATTACTCTGTATAGACGGTTGGACTCATCTTATGTTAAAGTCAAATAATTTTCTGTTACATAGAAAATTTTCCGATTTATAAAGATATCCTCTTGAAGGCAAACGTGTGTTGGCAATAAAAGAATTAAAAGGAAATGCTTGTCAAATAAAATTTAAACAAAATCAATGTTTCCACAGTCCTGAGAGAGGTTTTTGGTCAAATGTATTAAACATAACAATCATAATCTGTTATTAAATGACAGAATCTGGTATTACAGATGAACTCATGGATGGAGGGTGCTCTTTGTCAGTATATAAAACACTGAAAGGTGATAAAAAATGCTATCATGCACCTTCACATTAACATTTTAGTGACAATTATGTCAGGTATGTGGCAGAAAAGGTTTTGTAAACACTAAAAACACTTTCTGCAGCATATAAATGTCTTTGTTTATTGCTTGATCAATGAGGCCCAGCATTGTGAACGTGTTAATGAGTCAAAATTCACATGGATTGGCTAGTCAATAAACAATTATACCAACATACAAATATAGAGATTTATAAATAGTTAAATAGAGCTTAACAGAAATGCAAGCAAGCAAATAAATAAATAAATAAATAAATAAATAAATAAATAAATAATGTACATTTAAAAAAACAAACAATAAAAAGCATTGATTTGTGTTCCAAATCCAAGTGTGCCTTGTAGTTTGGTGACGGCTGGATTACCAGACAGTGCCTTCGCTCATTTCTGAGGAGGGTTGTGACAGCTGGTTGGTGTATCCATTGTCACTGAGAGACACAGTGGTGAAAGGTTTGCCAGGGCCACACATCTCACTGGAGATGCTGTGCATTGAGCCCGGTATATTGGGCTCTGGACTGGGTGAATCCGCAGGATGATGAGATACTGTGTCAGAGAAACACTGCAACTCTCCAGGACAGTGGTGCACTGGATGGTGGTGGTCTATGACTCCTAATGGGGTGCCAGCAGGGACAGAAGAGGGCATAAAACCCAGGTCTGCTGGAGTCTGAGCCTGAGATGATGGTGGGCCTTGGAAGTACTCATAATTCCCTCCTGAGCCATAGTATTCACCGGGATAATCTGCATTAAAAATATTTGGATTAGTGCACAGAATATAAAGAAGCTTTTATTGCTTTTTGTTCTTCTTTTACTAGCCCCAGAAACAGACTCAGTGAAAGATGAATTGGCTTAATTATAGTGAAAACATCATCCTTCTAGCAAACGACTATCAACGTTGAATGACATTTTTACACCCCTAAAACATAGCTCACCTCCATAATAGGAGAAGTGTCCCAGCTCTTCTGGTTCCAGTCTCTCTCCCAGCGCTCTCATCCTCCTCTGCCCGCGGAAAAACACGTGTCTCCGCCCGCTCAGAGCGCTCAGCTGCTTCATGCGTCTCTCTTTGGACCTCCGGTTTTGGAACCAAACCTTTAGGACGAGGCGAGGATTGTAAAAAACATAATTGAGAAAATGTGGATGTGGATGACACGCGCAGGAGAGTGGAGCAGACGTACCAGAAGAAAAGACTTCATCTTATAGGCTACCTGCTCATGCCTCGCAGGGCCATGGAAGTAGGCTATCACAGCAACATTTTTTTGTGAAACTTGAATATTTCGATAAGTTTAAATTTTTTTAATTATAAACAATTATAAGAACTACACAATCACAGCAAGTTCCTGAAAAAAAATTACATTTGACTTCTTTTATGTGGCTTGCTGCGGTGGTCGTTATGAGAAACATTAATGATCTGACCTGTTCTGAAGTTGGAATAAAGGTTTTGTAAATGCGTCAATAGCATACCAGCCTATCGGCATGTGAACTGATGACTATTTAGCCCACGGAAACATAATTTTCTTTTAATGCATTTCGATGAGTCAATCAAGAAATTTCATCATGAGAGCTTTTTAAAAGTGTCCAAGCGCATCAGCGCTAAGTGAGCCCTGCTTTTAAGGGTTTTAGGAGCGCAGTGGGAGTGAAGATTATGGGAAAAATGGTTTGGAAACCTTATCTGAAAAAAAAGAGAGAAAATTCTGTAGAGCATTAAGGATAAATTCCCTAAGGGTGTCCAGGCAAAACGTGGGTTCTAAAGAGCCCCCAGCCACAATTGCTTTTTTGTGTCCATTAAAGCTTTGGTATAGCGAATACGCTCCTGACTTTATTCTCTGTGGTGTTAGTCCTTGAGGTACTTGGTAACCTGTTTGAACACTGCTGATTGTCGCTCAGATTTGGGAGGGACTTGGGTGTCCGATAATGGATGTAAATGGATCAGACTTTTTTCATTTAGCCTTTTACCTGGATGACTCTCATGGAGAGGCCGGTCTCCCGTGACAGCTGCTCCCTTATATGTCTGGTGGGTTTCGGTGTGGCCGCGAAAGCCGCTTTCAGGGTCTCCAGCTGCTTGGCTTTTATGGTGGTCCGAGGCCCGCGTCGTTTCCCGACGGCACTCTGCTCGTCATTATCGTTGCACACGTCTTTATCAGATAAATGTCCCGTTTCTGAGTCCTTCCCGTCGTCCTGCGGGTCCTGGGAGTCTGGAGACAGACTTGGGTCGCTGCAAGTCGTGACTGTTATGAGATAAATATGCTGTATATTAGCACATGGCTCTTAATATTTACAAGATCTGGGCCTCTAAATCATACGCGCAAACCCCCCGAGAAAAGCAGCGGCCTTTTTAATACAAGTTATGAATATGGCAGCAAATTTATTTCAGAAGTTTGTTAAATAATATTCTGAATAGCCCACTTTGATGATAGTACAAGATCCCTTTGAATATAGCACTAACCAATTTGGACAAAAATCTGCTGCTTTTAATATTATTATTATTATTATTATTATACTACTACTACTGCTACTACTACTACTACTAATAATAATAATAATTTGATTTAGAAAATATATCTTTCCCCTCCTTTTTAAAAACACAATAAATGTCTGACATAGCCTACCTGAAAGGAGGATTGTGTCTTTTCCATTGTTGTTTAGATAGTCCTCTTTACAGACAAACTTGAATTCGTCCAAGATGTACAGTTCCTCTCCAGTGGACAGCTGTTTGTTACACATCACACAGGTGAAACAGTTGAGGTGAAACACTTTGCTCTTGGCTCTGCGGACAAGATCACTGGGTAAAATTCCCTGGGCGCAACCGTCACACTTGGTCCCAAATCTCCTGTTGAAGAGGGAGAGCAACAGTCTGAGTAAAGTTTCAGTAGCCTACAGATGTAATAGGCTATAATAATGCTTCCCCTCTTAGACTTTTTAAAAATATTTTTTTTATTAGATCTATCTACCGCCTAACCTAAAGTAAAGTGTAATGCTGTAAAATTTGAAAAAAATAATCCTAATGTAATCTCATGTCCATCATAGCAGTCACACGTGCAATAAGGGTTTGCCCTGTTTGTAATAGCTGCTATCAATGCTGGCTTGTGATATCATGTTGTTTTTCCAAGACATTCTTAAATAAACTGCTCCACACACAATTTTAATATTTTTAAACATCAAAACAAACGAATAGATAAAAAAGCAACTGACAAGTGCGACATTTGAACGAATATCAGATCTCACAGTATAAACAAAGAAGGTTTATTGAACCACTGCAGAACATGGTCCAGGAGTTTAATAGCCTATAGGCCATATAGCTTATCATGCACGGTCAAATTCCATGTAGGCTCACCGTTTCTTTATTTTAGACATTTACTTCGTTTTTTTTCTAAATAAATATTAAACCGAAATACTTTGGATGCTTACCTAAAGAAGTCATTCTTACAATACAGTCTCCCTTCTCGTGAAAAACATTTCTCTGTCAATGCGCATTTGCATTCGCAGCACTGGACACATTTGATGTGCCATGGTCTGTCCAAAACTTTGAGCAGGAACCTATCAAGGATAGGCTTTTCACAGCTCGAACAGTGAAGCATTGTCTGGAGTTATTCCCAGCCCAGTGTGCGTGATATAGATGTTTGTTTCTTTCTTCGACGGATGCGATTGGGTGCGATCCAGGAAATCCAATGTATCCAAATGAATCTGAATAGTTACATCACCATCCGTGAGATTAAATTTAGCTCTTCTGTCCCACAGGGCAACAATCCACATCTGGCCAGCAGTTCCAAACGACAGGTTGACTGTTGAAAGAACAGCATTTCTGAAAGAAGAAATATAGATTGGAGATCATATCAGGCCCATCAAGATGATCCGAAAGTGTGCGATTTTATGGGTAAGCGCAGAAAAAAGCCTGCCTAGTATAGAGCTTTTACAACGCACTGCTGTACGATATATCCAGAGTGGTGACTAAAGTAGAGAAAAACAACGATGGAAATGCTATCAGCGCGCTCAGCCTTGGCGTTTGTGTCCCATTTCCCATGTGACGAGCTCTCAGTCTGAGAAAAGCGCTGTAATGAGCGCACCTCTTAAAGCTCAGCCTATTGCCTATTAAGACACATGTGACGTCAGCTCCTGGAAAAACCTATGAGCAGCCCTTTCAATTCACCCCACCACATGTAGCCTTAATTATGTAAAGAAAAGTAAAATACCGTGGTTGTAAGATGAAACCAAAGCAATTCCAATCAAGTCAAATCAGTGGCAAGATGTAAACTAAGTATTATACGCGCATAAACTGCTTGTGAACCTCTAAACATTTAAATAAAATATATATGACTGAGGAGAGAAAAAGAGAAACAGGCTACCACGAGAACTTTAAATAAAGGCATGGCGTTAATGCTTCCACCAGAAATATATCTTGTAAAAGCAGATTTTAGTTGAAAATAACTGAAAAATAAAAAGTGGGCAAAGATTTCTCACGATGACGATCCTTACAGCCTGAGGAGCTGTTGCGAGATATTTAGTCTAAGAAACTGTGTCTGTGAAGACATGATAATAAATAAGAATACAAATAAAAAACGTTATAAAAGCTCAACCAACGTTCTGCTTATAATATTTTATTCTTTGCGCAGGATCAGCCAGCTTCTCTCTCAAGGATACCCTGCTAAGGGTCAATGATATCATGTGAATAAATTATTTTCTTCAGCAAAAGGCTGAGTTGGGAGAAGACTGCATCAGTGGCAGATGACAAATTATCAGTATGCCTATCCCTGTAGTATGGCCAACACAAGCTTTTCATATAGATTAATGTTGTGCCCAAGCATTATTCCTCATTTTGTTTGAAAGGACAAGGATCACTAATGTTTATAATCTGTGGCGATAGACTGTCTCTTCTAGATGTTATCGCGCCGTGCTGGTGCACTGGTGAAGGAGATAGCGCCTTTCCCCACACAGGCTCCCAGCTCTGTTACTCCCTGATATACTGTATAAGCTCCCGACAGTATAACATTAAACGTGAGTGAAGGAGTTGCAAAATCTTTCTTGAACCAAAGAAATGGTTGTATGTCAGATTTTTTTTTTTGTATTGCACAGGCCACATCAAGAGCGCATAAATGCAAAATGTCAGTGCTTATCAGCTGATTGGCACTTTCTCTGTTGTTTTGTATGACAGCTGATTTCTTGGATAAAAAAGAACGTATTAAAACTTGTGGGCGGTGAGGATGTGTGTCAATGCCTCTGACAGGTTCTGTCCATTTTTAATTTAACTTTTGAAACAGCTACTGTGGGTCTAGCTCCAACAATTATTCAAATATAACTGATGAATCAATCAATCAATCAAATAAACATAAATATAGAAAGGAGGATAAGGGGTTTTGATTAATTGAACACCCCGTGTCCTATCTAAACAGTTTCCTAATTATTATTATTATTATTATTATTATTATTATTATTATTATTATTATTATTATTATTATTTAGTTTACAATACAATGTATTTATTTATAGATAGCAATGTATTTGTCATCTGGAGAAACTTGCAAAACTAAACATACTGCATGGTGAAAGAAAGACATACACATTTTTTAGAACCCAAATTCACTTGATATTTAGACATTTTTCTTGCATACAATTTGCTGCATAAACTCATAATTGTCAATGTCCTCATATATCCTAAAATATATTTTTTTAAATGCACCACAAGAATTTTATGGCAGTCTTGTCTGACTTGTCTAACTTTGAGCATGCTCTTTAAGCACCACGGACAGCACCACAAGGCACTCTTGAATACTTGCAGTACAAAAAAGAGTAAAACAGCGTGATAGTGTGAATAATATAATATATCAAGAAAAACATGTGTGACCTCACAACTTTCAGTGATTTAAAAAAAAAAATCAGGTTGAACATTTTCTCCTAACAATTACAGTTGCCAAACAACAGCTATACATTTATGTAGAATTTGATCGCTCCTGTAAATGAACTACCATTGAAAACAGAACTACAATGTATACAAATATTACTGTTGGGGATTTATTCCTTTCTTTTTGTATCATTTCTGAATTGGAAAGTATGTGTGGATGAGTGCAAAACCAGGTATTAAACCACAGAAACATAACACAACATATGTATGGAGGTCAAGAAATACATGTGAGACTACCATTAAGTAAAAAAGTAAGGTAGAGTAAATGCTTAAGACTTCTCGTGCATCTAATTTGGTTCCTCGAACCTGATCTCATTAGCTTAAATGTAACAGTGGATGACAGTGAAAAGACCAGAGAGCAAGGATCTCTGTGGTGTCCTACGTGCAAGTTGTGTGGATAAGTGTCTCCTTCTGAGTTTGTGTTTCTCCATTAGGGGTGTTGATTAGAAGCCAAGCCCAGTGAGCTGCCCCACCCCCCCTTTCACCACTCCATCACACAAGAGATCTCTGTGCAGCACTGGAATCTGGCAGGGCGCACGCTGTTTGTTTTGGAATGAAAAAAAGCATGTCATTAGTGTTTGTTAATTGCAGCTAATTGGCACTAATGAGATGACTAGGCCACCCACTGGGACCATTCATACAAATAATATGTAGAAAACAAAATGAATTACTAGATGCTAATTAAAGTCAATTAAAGCTGATTAGGCGGTGGTGGAATGGGAAAGTTGTAGACAGGAGGAAAATACCTGGCAACATGCAGGATGACATGACAAATACATCTGGCCACTCGCAGAGCTCCTTACTGTGGAACAGGAAGACCTATTCAGTCTCTATATGCTGAATGCAGCTTGACTGAAGTCTCCATTGTTCAATCAGAGTCTAACCTAAGGAAAGTGATAACATGATAACTGCCTAAAGAGCAGTCAGCTCTTTAGGCAGTCAGAAGTCAGCCCCACTTATTCACTCCTTCTATTATCCTGTCAGTTTAAGATGCACTTGGCTCCCCTTTTTACTCCCTTTAATGCCCTTCGCTACTGTTTGGTAGCTTGAGTTGTTATTTCTTGTTGAAAAAATTGCTGTATTTAGGTCAGCCTGACTGAACATTTCTAGTCCTCAGTTGGAGTAAAAGAAAAAAAAGAATCAGGGCAGCACTAAGGTTTCCTACTCAAGTGGCTTTCCAGGAAGTTATTAGCAGAAACATCTCTCTCAGCATGTGGCCCATTTAGAGTTTACATAGGTAATCTTCTTTGTATTATTATTTCAGTTTCAGAGCACTTGCTGAACAGAATTGTGCAATTTGAATTGTGCACTTCAGTGTGTCCACATAATTTAGGAGCACCTTAGCTGTTTACACACATTAGCTATAGCTTGTAAAGAAATAAAAAAAAATAATAAAATACAAAAAGAGGATCCATCATGCAGCCTCAAAACACATGAAAAAGTCTGATGTAGAAGAAACTTAAATTGAAAATTACATTTCCATTGCTTTGTTTTCTGGGTGGGACCATTGAAGGTTTTTCCAATAAAGAATGCCTAAAATGTCTTACTTTTGTACTTGTATTTTGTAATTCTGAGAGTTGCCTCTAATATTTAGTTTCCCCTCAATGACATATCAGAAACACTAAAATATAATAGCTATATCATCACAAACTACAGTCTCCAAACTAAAAGTTGAATTTACATTTACATTTTCAACATTTTTTATTTTTTTTAAAAATAAAATTATAACCTTCATGAAGGTAGGATTTATTGCAGGTTTGTTGCAGCAGACTGCATTGGTTTAACTAACAACTGTTGGTGTTAAGCACAGTTTAATATCCATTTCTGGTCAAGGAACACTCCACCCGTGCATTTTCTGCTCTCAGCCAACTGACCTCTTGCATTCATATTATTATTTTTTTTTTGAGTGCTGAGAAGTGGAACAGCTTGGCGTGACATTTGCAGTGCTCAGCATACAACACACAGCTACTGCTTGTACTTGACTACATTAGCATAACACAGGTAGCATAGAGAAATGCAAGGGATATACAGAGGTACTGTCAGAGGTACCAGTATGGGCTTGAAGAAAACAATTCTTCCTATTATTACTCAATAGCAGCAAAAGGTGAACATGGTGGTTAGGTTTAGAGGTAACAAAATGTACAGTCTGCCGGAAAAGAAGCTCTTCCACCCATAAGAACACATATTTCTAAAGCAGGAAAACCTATCACGGCAGGGCTGACAGCCGCAGAGTGAAGGGCAATCCATACTGATCACCTCTACATTGACCTGCCAAATCATATCAGGGATTTGTCTCATTCACACATGCATCTTTATCAGTTAGTAATGGTTTTCACTGGCACTGGTCATCAGTACTAACAGTGACACAGAAGGAGTGGGGATAGTTCTCCCAAAGTATATCCTATAGCCTCCCAGAGAGACAAGTCTATATTAAGTTAATGTAAAAACTCCCTTGTGTATAATCAAACAGCTATTGTGGAAACCAGTCAATTAATCAATTCTGCTGATCATGGGTGTTATCTGTTGGAATACAGAACACTATTAAAAATCCTTCTCCATTACTCAAATGGCCATTTCATGCCCAAAACTTGATTATCGAGAGCTGGTAAAATGATGGCAGCGTCTTGTGCAGCGAGTGGGACGGCGTTCAAGCAGCATCACATTGTTTGCATGAGTGAGTACGGGTGTGAGGAGTAGCAGGCAAGCAAGAGGAGACGCACAGAAGGGGAAACCTACCCCATATGAGGGGACAGAGGGTGATCTGCCTGAGGGGCCGTTCAGTGAGAGGGCCCAAGGGACAGAGTGCCGACGGCCCTGGTGATGATGGTGATTGATGCAGGCACAATTCAGACACCCCAGACGCTGTAGCAAATTAAAAGGCTATTTTGTAAAGTTGTAAAGGAGCAGAATGGCAAAGGGTAGCGAGGAGCCCCCCCCCCCCACACACACACACACCTCCTCTGCTCTGTCAAACCATCCGCTTCTGTTTGGTTTCCTTGGTGTCATCAGTCCCTTTGGGAGGAACGCTATTACAAGCCTTTCACTCTCACTCATACTAGATACACCGCTGCTTGTGCACATATGGGAGTGTGCATGAGTGTGAGAAAGAAGGGTAAATATGGATCCA